CTACTGTTCTTTGAATCACAAGGAATACCAAGTCATTTTGTATAGCTTTCCATGCTGTCATAATAAAACAAAGAAGTAAGATCTGTATTCCTACCCAGTATTGCAATAGGTATGTTTTCTGAGTTCAAACTACAGTTTCAGCAACATTTCTTAGAACTTGATGCAAGTGTAAAGGAAATTTCCATTTAACTGTACTGTTGAGGCACTTTTTACCTAACCTTTAATTGTAATTAATTTGCAATTAATTACATGCCAAAAGATAAATACTAAGAGAAGAGTAAATACTTTACAACTACTTTTACACAGTAACGAATTTCAATGTCCATTGGATCTATCCTGTATCCACAGAATACAGGACAACCATGTAAAATCTCATCTTCAAATTTAGAACGTTAACACAAAACGATATGGTCTTATTATAATGAGTCATTATGGGGAGAAATTTAAGCCAGCCACAGAAATTCGCATAAGTAACAAGGAATCAAAAGCTAATCACTTCTAAACAATGATTATGCTGAATTGAAATCATATACTTGTGGTTTACTATCAGTTTGCAGTAGCACCTAACTGGTACTTTTGAAAAAATACATTTTCAAACATGAAATTTGTTGTATTCAAGGTAAACATTAGAATGTATGAACATTTGTGATTGATTTTGGTGGTAGGGAACACTAACTTTGAATCCCAACTAAGTGAAATATTGTCTCCAAAATTCATTCTTCTTAGTCAACCTGTCTTACAAAAAGTTATACTCTGTTATTGTTTCTATAATATTTTGAATTGTATCAATAAGTATTATGGACATTTTTTGTCTCATTATATAAGCAGCTATGCAATATCCTTCATTTGTTAACCCTCAAAGCCTAAAATATTTACTTGTATAGGACAAGTTTGCTAACTTCTCCTTTATATCAAGATATTTTTGTCTTTAATAGTTTTGTGTCTATACTTGTGAGCAGGATTAAGGTTTTGTTTCACAGTGACTTTAAAGGGAAATAATTTATGGAGCATCTTCGTTTCTACTGGATTTATTAATTGCATATTACTCATTATAAGAAGACCGTATTGTTTTGTGTTAATGTTCTAAATTTGAAGATGAGACTTTGCGTGGTTGTCCTGTATTCTGTGGATAGATCCACCGGACATTGAAATTTGTTACTGGGTAAAAGTAGTTGTATTGGTCCATTCTCATGCTGCTGTGAAGAAATAATGGAGACTAGGTAATTTATAAAGAAAGGAGGTTTAAGTGACTCATAGTTCTGCATGGTTGGGGAGGCCTCAGGAAACTTACAATTATGGCAGAAGGCACCTCTTCACAGGGCAGCAAGAGAGAGCATGAATGCCAACAGGGGAAATGCCGGATGCTTACAGAACCATCAGATTTCATGTGACTCACTCATTATCATGAGAACAGCATGGGGGAACCACTTCCATGATCCAGTCACCTCTACCTGCTCCTGCCCTTGACATGTGATTATTACAATTCAAGGTGAGATTTGGGTGGGGACACGGAGACAAACCATATCATTCTGCCCCTGGCCCTTCCCAAATCTCATGTCCTCAACATTAAAAAACATAATTATGCCTTTCCAGCAGTCCCCCAAAGTCTTAACTAATTCCAGCATTAACTCAAAAGTCCAAGTCCAAAGTCTCATCCGAGACAAGGCAAGTTCCTTCTACCTATGAGCCTATAAAATCAAAAGTATGTGGGTTACTTTCTACATATAATGGAAGTACAGGCACTGGGCAAATACACCTGTTCCCAGTGGGAGAAATTGGCTAAACCAAAGGGGCTATACAACGCAAGTCTGAAGTCCGGTAGGGCAGTCATAAAGTCTTAAGTTTCCAAAATAATTTCCTTTGACTCGATGTCTGACATCCAGGTCACACTGATATAAGAGGTAGGTTTCCATGGCCTTGGGCAGCTCCACCCCTGTGGCTTTGCAGGGTACATCCCCACCTTCTGGCTGCTTTCACGGCTGGCCTTGAGTGCCTATGGCTTTTCCAGATGCATGGTGCAACCTGTCAGTGAATATACCATTCTGGGGTCTGGAAGATGTTGGCCTTCTTCTCACAGGACTTAGTGGGAGCTCCAACCACACATTTCCCTTCCCTACTTCCCCAGCAGAGGTTCTCCATGAGGATCCTGCCCCTGCAGCAGACTTTTGCCTGGACATCCAGGCATTTCCATGCATCCTCTGAAATATAGGTGGTGGTTCCCAAACCTCAATTCTCATCTTCTGTGCACCTGCAGGCCCAACACCATGTGGAGGCCGCCAAGGCTTTGGGCTTGGAACTTCTGAAGCAATAGCCTGAGCAGTACCTTGGCCCTTTTTAGCCATGGCTGGAGTGGCTGGGTGCAGGACACCAAGTCCCAAGGCTGCATACAGCAGGGGGGCCCTGGACCCAGCCCAGGAAACCCATTTTTCTCTCCTAGGCCTCTGGGCTTGTGATGGAATGGGCTGCCAAGCATCCCTGACATGTCCTAGAGACATTTTCCCCATTGTCTTGGTGATGAGCTTTTGATTCTTTGTCACTTATGGAAATTCTGTGGCTGGCTTGAATTTCTTCCCAGAAAATGGATTTTTCTTTTCTATTTCATTGTCAGGCTACACATTTTCCAAACCTTTATGTGCTGCTTCCCTTTTAAATATAAATTCCAATTCTAAACTGTACCTCTGTGAATGCATAAAACAGTGCTTTTAAGAGCACCCCCAAATCACCTCTTGAAGGCTTTGCTGCTTAGAAATTTCTTCTGCCAGATACCATAAATCATCTCTCTCAATTTCAAAGTTCCACAGATCTCTAGAGCAGGGACAAAATGCTGCCAGTTTCTTTGCCAAAGCATAGCAAGGGTCATGTTTATTCAAGTTCCCAACAAGTTCCTCATCTTCATCTAAGACCACCTCAGCTTGTATTGTCCGTATCACTATTATCATTTTGGTCAAAGCCATTCAACAAGTCCCTAGAAAGTTCCAACTTTCCCACATTTTTCTATGTTCTTCTGAGCTCTCCAAACTGTTCCAACCTCTGCCTGTTACTCAGCTCCAAAGTCAACTTACACATTTTCAGATATCCTTCTAGCCTAGCACCCCACTCCTGGTACTAATCTGTATTAGTCCTTTCTCACACTGCTATAACGAAAAACCTGAGACTGTGTAATTTATAAAGAAAAGAGATTTAATTGAATCACAGTTCTGCATGGCTGGGGAGGCCTCAGGAAACTTACAATCATGGTGGAAGCACCTCTTCACTGGGCAGCAGGAGAGAGAATGCATGCCAGCAGGGGGAATACCAGACACTTATAAAACCATCAGATCTTATGAGACTTACTCATTATCACAAGAACAGCATGGAGGAAACTGTCCCCATGATCCATTTACCACCACCTGTCCTGCCCTTGACACGTGGGAATTATTACAATTCAAGGTAAGATTTGGGTGTGGACACAGAGCCAAACCACATCAGTAGTGTACTATTTGCTGCAATGTGATTCTCAAGTAATATAACTCTGCCTTCAGGGAACCTATAAGGGGCAAATAACATGCAAAACACATAAAGAAACATTTATTTTCAAGAATGTGTTGCAGTCTACAGAAATGCCTAGAACTAGTTATGGTTAATCTCCAGGAAGAATTTTTGAGCCCCTGAAGAATAGATAAGAGATTGAGAGTCAGAGAGGAAAAGTCAGGCTCCCCAAACCAAAGTTTAATTCCCTGAGCAAGGCATAAAGAAGTATTTTGTTTTTCTCCTCTGTATGTATTCATTGGTTTACTGTTCCTAGAATTAAGAAGGTAATTTGGACTCCTCCTTGGGATACCATTCTCCTGTATCTCTGGACTTCCGATTCTTTTTCGTCTTGGGAGGAAAGTGTCTTTGCATAGAAGCCTTGGATGTTTCTAGGAGACCTTTGGAAAGCCTGGAAGAAAAGCCAGAATTACTGGACTGGAGCTTTGGTGGAAGCCAGATATTTAGAGGGTATTCTAACTAACATCTTACAGAAAGGAAAATAATGGTAGTTATTTGCATGGCCAGAGAGTTATAGAGAATGACAGGGTCTTAGAAGATTACAAGTTGGGGTTCATATAGTTTAATTTATAGGTGTTTGCTTAGATTTAAGTTTATGAGGCAATTACATGAGTATACATGGTATATGGACAACCATAGACTGTTCCTTTAAAATGTGTTAAGTATAACTTTTTTTCTTGGGCCAAGAAATTTTAGTGAGAACTAATTTTTATAGTTTCAACTGACTTCAGTGGAAAATGTAACATTCCTATATTTATGTGATATATATATATATGTATATATATATATATATATACATATATATATATATCACATATATATATATTTATTTTTATGTTGGCAAGAATAAATTGAATAAAACAAAACAAGTTCATATATTATCGCAGTCTATGGTAATTATAAAGGAATAAGGAAAACTAGGGTCCAATTTTATGTACCTATAAGTAAATCAGTAGTTCAGAGCATGTAATGTCTCTTCCTATTATTTCCATGGGTGTTCTTTTATAATCTCCTTTATACTTCCAATTTGAAAATTTTGTTTAGTATTATAAGATGCATTCAGATAGCCTCAAAGAATGAAAGTTAACTCTTGACTTTCAAAGTAGTTCCATGCTGGGCATGGTGGCTCATGCCTGTAATCCCAGCACTTTGGGAGGCTGAGGTAGGTGGACTGCCCAAGGTCAGGAGTTCGAGACCAGGCTGGCCAACGTGGTGAAACCCCTGTCTCTACTAAAAATACAAAAATTAGCTGGACATGATGGTACATCCCTGTAGTCCCAGCTACTCAAGAATCACTTGAACCTGGAAGGCGGAGGTTGCATTGAGTCAGGGTCATGCCACTGCACCCCAGCCTGGGCAACAAAGTGAGACTCTGTCTCAAAAAAAAAGTAGTTTTAAACATTTTAAAGAATAATAAATGTTTTAAAGTCAGTGCTGAAAAATTTTAAAAGGTCATTATATTTTATGTTTAGGTCTCTGAAAGAAGATGAATTTGGCTGAGATTTGTGATAATGCAAAGAAAGGAAGAGAATATGCCCTTCTTGGAAATTACGACTCATCAATGGTGTATTACCAGGGGGTGATACAACAGATTCAGAGACATTGCCAGTCAATAAGAGATCCAGCTATCAAAGGCAAATGGCAACAGGTAAGATGATATTAAAGTATTAGATATGTTAGGAAAGTAGTACCCTATTATACTTGAGAGATTAGAGTTGGAAAATGAGTTTGAGATGGAAATATTTTCTATTTATCTGAATACTGAAATATATTTAAAATATATTTTTGAATAATTTTCTAGTATCTTACCTAATGTTTTGTTTTTGTGATCATATGTTCCATGAGGTATGTTTTGAAGATATTTAATTCTGATTGAATCTACTTTTACTTTTTTCTCTTTTTGTAATTAGTTACCTAATTGTGTGACTACAGACATTTGAAATAAAGTATTTCATTCATTCTTTTATTTTTTGGAGGCAGAGTCTTGCTCTGTTGCTCAGGTTGGAGTGCAGTGGCACCATCTCGGCTCACTGCAACTTCTGCCTCCTGGGTTCAAGTGATTCTCCTGCCTCAATCCCCTGAGTAGCTAGGATTACAGACATCTGCCACCACACCCCGCTAATTTTTTGTATTTTAGTAGAGATGGGGTTCCACCATGTTGCCCAGGCTGGTCTTGAACTCCTGACCTTGTGACCTGCCCACCTCAGCCTCACAAAGTGCTAGGATTACATGCATGAGCCACCATGCCCAGCTATTCTTTCTTTTCTTTTTTTTTTTTTAAGAGACAGGGTTTTCCTCTGTCACCCAGGCTAGAGTGCATTGGCGCCATTACAGTTCACTGCAGCCTCAAACTCGTGGGCTCAAGTGATCCTCCCACCACAGCTTCCTAAGTAGATAGGGCTACAGGTGCACACCACCTTGCCCAGCTAATTTTTAAGTTTTTTGTAAGGCCTGGCTCTTGCCGTGTTGCCCAGGGTGGTCTCAAACTCCTGGCCTCAAGTGGTCCGCCTGCTTTGGCCTCTTAAAGCACTGGTATTACATGTGTGAGCCACTGTGCTGAACCTGAAATAAAGTATTCATCCTTGAGCTTTTCCCTTTCATTTTTACATGTTATTTTGACCCATTTTACAAAACTCCTCTTCTGAAAGACTCCTTAAAAATGCAAATGAGTCAATAACCTAATAGAAAACATTACTGTATTTGCTGTCTTTTGACTATATAATTTGCTTATTTAATAACAGTTTAAAAAAACTTGAATTTTAATTTCCCCACTTACTGTTCTTTAATTTAAATTTAATGTTTTAATTGATCAGTATGTTTAGCATAGTTCTTACTTTGCTGCCCCAGTTCCACATTAATTGTAACTTTTAAAAAAGAATTTTTGCACATCATACTTATAAGCAACATATCTTCATTTAAGGAAATAAATCATCTGTCTATCTTCAGTGATGTTTAGTTAAACAAAATTGCCTTTTGTTTTTATAAGGGCTTATTATTTAAGCTTGTATTTTTCACCTGTTATACTAAAATAACGTTAACAGCCTTTTTAGAAAACATTAAGTAAAAAATACAGAACATTTCAGGAGTGTGTGTGCATCCTGCACAGGGGACGTGCTGATCTTCGCTGTTATTCCAGTTTCAGTATATGTGCTGCCAATGCAAACACTCCCCACTTTTAAAATTAAAATCTTTTAAAACTTAAAAGTACAAAGTCAAGTGTTTCTTTGACGTTTCCATTTTATATACTAATGCCTTTCAAGTGTTTCATCTAATTTTTCCATTAGTCAGAAATTGATGTTTTCCTAAGTTTTGAGGGTAAATTTGGCTTATTTTCCTAATTAAATGTTACCAAATTATGTTCATCGAGAACTATATACTGACTCTAACTCAGGCTGAAAATTTTAGTTGTTTTCTTCTATCCTTCCCGTTAGCCACAGGCAGGGTGTTTCATTAATCTGTTATGGAAATATTTTTGATATGTTCCTAATTGTGTATGTTAAATAGTGACCATTTCTACTCAGATTTATTTTTACTATGCTTCTTTCCGTTGGGTTCTGAAATTACATTTCTTTCAATATAGCATATCCCAGTAGAGTGTAATTGTATATATTAGCAATTGAATTTTACCTAGCTTTTTCTTTGGATCTGTAACTCTTTCATATGTTTCTTTTAATATATTATTCAATATAATGATAAGAGAAACTTTCTTACACTCTGCTTTACAGTAAAATGTGCTTTCTGGTTAAAAAAACAGAATTGTTAAAATGATTTTATAAATGTAATTTTCTTTTTTTGTTTTTGATATGGAGTCTTGCTCTGTTGCCCAAGCTGGAGTGCAGTAGCGTAATCATAGCTCACTATAGCTTCAAACTCCCAGGCTCAAGTGATTTTCCTGCCTCAGCCTCCTGAGTAGCTAGAACTACAGCCTCTTGCTGTTATGCCTGGGCTAATATTTTTGTTTCCCCAGACTGGTCTTGAATGTAATTTTTAATATTTATCTGCTTGCTTTTGAAAATTAGTTTGGCCTCAAAGTTTGAAAACACAAGAATTTGCTCCTAATATGTGCTCAGTTAAGTTTTTTAAATACAGGAAAAATTTTGTCTTTGATATAAAAATAAACTTTATTCAGAACTTGAAATAATTTAAATAAGGCCAAAATGATTCAGATTTCAGGTGAAGGAAAATTTAAATAAAAACTAGGGTGCGGTGGCTCATACCTGTAATCCCACCACTTTGGGAGGCCAAGACAGGCAGATCACAAGATCTGGAGATCGAGACCATCCTGGCCAATATGGTGAAACCCTGTCTCTACCAAAAATATAAAAATTAGCTGGGCGTAGTGGCATGTACCTATAATCTCAACTACTTGGGAGGCTGAGGCAGGAGAATAGCTTGAATCCAGGGGGCGGAGGTTGTAGTGGCCTGAGATTGTGCCACTGCACCCCAGCCTGTTAATAGAGCGAGACTCTGTCTCAAAAGAATACAAAACAAACCTGGAAGTTTGTAATTCATAGTATTATACCACTTCTAACTTTCAGACACTCATGACAGGCATTTTATATTTAGTGATATTGGGAATAGGAAGTGGTGTTGAAAATTTTGGCTTACAATTTTTTCAAATCTACTTACAAATATATTAAAAATATTTAGCACAGTATTTTAGATTTCTGGGAATGGTTAACTTGTCATCTGCTTAGTTGCTTGTTTTCAGTTGTATTAATGATCATCACATTCTTTTGTAGAAATGGAATTCCATTATGAAAGATATGTAACTACTTTCCTTATTAAAAGGTATAGAATTATGTTTTTTCAAACCAATTTCTGCCCTTCTTTCTGTGTTACTTGAAATAGTTCTTTGTGTTTTTGAATGTTTTAATGATTCATTTTTCATACTTTGACCTTAAGAAAACATGCACTCTATAGCAATTTATTATTTACAATTTATGAAGTCTTTAAACAGTTTCTAGCATAAAGCCTATTTTTTTTAAGGTTCGGCAGGAATTATTGGAAGAATATGAACAAGTTAAAAGTATTGTCAGCACTTTAGAAAGTTTTAAAATCGACAAGCCTCCCGATTTCCCTGTGTCCTGTCAAGATGAACCATTTAGAGATCCTGCTGTGTGGCCACCCCCTGTTCCTGCAGAACACAGGTAAATAGGGCTTTATATTCTCTTTAGGTGCTTCTAGTTAACTGATGTTCACAATGAAGCTTGCTTTGAACAAAGTATGAAAAAACATTTTTGGGGACATGTAAATTCATTATCTGTTTTTAATATTCACATTTATTATAGGTTTACAGTTTTGTATCTGATAAAGTACAGAAGTAATTGACTTGTTACATATCTTGTGCTTTTAGAATGCTTTATGACTCTAATAACAATAGAAGTCTATTGCTGGTCCTAAAATTTATCAGTTAAGAGAGGTCTTTTAGGTTTCATAATGGCAGTATCAAAATTTGAAGAGTTTTGCTTTTTTGCCTGAAGAGACTGTTAACAACTTCAAATGAAGTGGTGGAGAAATTGAATTTAGCTGGTTGGGCCTCCAGCCAATTTCCAGAGTTTTAGTGTAGGAGGAACCTTACCGATAATGTTTAAGTGGCTTACTGCTTAAAGGTCAGATTCCTCAGTGTGGCATCTCCCACCAGTTTTCTCTAATCCCAGCCTGTGCATCCTTTATGGTAAACCTCTCTCTTTTTGCCTTTGTCATCTTGTCTGTGCGGTGTCTTCTTTCTTCAAGAAATATCCGTAATCCCCATCTCTTAGCAACTCATATTCATTCAAGTCTCAACTCAACTGACTATCCCCTCTGCAGTCTTTTTTGATTTGCTCAGACATAGTAGTTTGTTCATAGTGGTTATCATGTTGCATTTATTTGTCTCTTCACAAGATTTGCAATGACAAGGACCATGGTTTTATTTACTTAAAACAAAAATTAAGTAATAAACTTCCATTGTTAACACAGGGTGTGGCACGTAGTTGGCATTTAACTAACATTAAATGAGTTAACTCCATTAGTTTCACAAGTGAGGAAACCGAAACCTGGGAGATCCTAATCACATTAAATCAGGATGTGAATTTAGGTCTTTCTGGCTTTCTGTCCACTTTATTGTGAAGTGGTACCATGGCCAGAGTATTGCACCATAAAAAATAAGTTTTCCTTTGGTCATTAGCTGTAATCATCTGTTGAAATTTTCTAAAAACATTTTAAGAACTATGAGAACTGGTTAATTTATTTCTTTGGATTTTTTCCATTGAATTACAGATAATTTTTTGGTTTTTCAGTTGAAAATAGTAGATGAGGATTCTTTTTTAAGGTCTACAACAATGTATTAATGTATTTTTCCTCCGATATAACCACCTTCAGGTGTTTTATACTAAGGCAACCCATGTCCCTCAAAAGGCAGTGTTTTAAGAGTCATATCATTGTTGCCCTGGAAGTTCCAAGATAAATACCTATACTGAAAGAATGGCATTTTAATCTACTAGAACTTGAAATTTTCCTGTATGTGTGTATGTATAATGAAATACCTTGTTTTCTACTGAAAGTCATTAATTCTAAAATATACTTCTAGTTTAAAGCTAAGAGCTGACAATACCTTCAAATATAGGAATATATGCTAGAGCACCATGATGGATTTCAACCAGCATTGTCCACAGCTAATAACCAATATTGATGGCTCAAACTGAATAAAAAATTGTAGATGACATTTTCCCATTGATGACTGCTAATCTCAAAACATTACTAAAATAACACTAGTCTAGTTTTTTTCCTTCTCTTTTTCCTTTCTGAACTATTCATAACATAGGTCTAACTTATTCTTGTACTTGTTTTTAAATCCTTTTTCTAAATGAAAGTGAAAGATGAATGGACCAGAATGTATTTCACTGATTCTCCTTTTTCTGTACTAAATTTTAAAAAAAGTTTTATTTGTTCATAGCCATTGTATGTGTTTGTGTTTTTTTTTTTCCTTTGTGTATCAGAAACCCTGAATAAAAGCAAATCTCAGATTGCATATTGTCTGGAAAAAAGATTTTCATTCCTATGTATATCATTAACAACAATAAGAAAATACCTAATAACTCTGCAAGGTTCTACTAGAGAAGGAAGTATAATACATTGAGTAATAGCATGGGATTAATAGTTTAAAACTTTATGAATAAATTTTTATGTAAGCAAAAACAGTGGGTACTTCATCAATTAACAGTGTAAAGCAAATGTTAATGAACTAACTCTTACGCTGCTTCATGGCACAGAATGTATGCAAGGGCTGATAAAATAAATATTCAGATTGCAAATTTAGACTTAAAGGTTATAGAAGGTTACAGTTGTATAATATTTTTCTTGTTTCATAAACTTTTTTTCTTCTCCAGGTCGTGTAAAACAAATATAATAAGATTTTCACCTAGTGATAGTGAGTGGTAGATATAGTCATTGGATATTCTTGGTTTAATGAAAAGACATTTGACTTGAGTTGATGAGATTGTCATTTCTGCTTCTGAAATCTACTTGCTTTGTGACCTTGAGCAAGCGATTTAACCTCTCTAAACATTAGTCTCACTACCTGTAAAATGGGGATCTCTACTTCATGGAATTGAATAAAAAAAATTAAGACAGTAACTGGCATGTTATAAATAATTAAAATTAATGGTCATCTCTGAAATAAAGGAATACAACATTCTTTTAGAGAAATATCAAGAATAACAATTAAAAATGATAGCCTCAGTTATAAAACACAAGTCGTTTTTTTCCCCTTGCAGATTCTACTAATTCTTTAGTTTCCTGAAACATTTCAATAACTATGACAGAGTGGATGTGGCTTTTTAAATGTCCAAGTCATAAGCAGTTGGTGATTATCCCAGGCTGGAGTGCAGTGGCACAATCTTGGTTCACTACAACCTCTGCCTCCCGGATTCAAGCGATTCTCCTGCCTTAGCTTCCTGAGTAGCTGGGATTACAGGCACGTACCACCACGACGGCTAATTTTTGTATTTTTAGTAGAAATGGGGTTTCATCATGTCGGTCAGGCTGGTCTCAAACTCCTGACCTCGTGATCCGCCTGCCTTGGCCTCCCAAAGTGCTGGGATTACAGATGTGAGCCATCGTGCCAGGCCCCTTTTTTCTTAAATACAAGAAATCCTGCTGCTCTCCAGTCATTGCAGTATTGGGACTGAATTCTTGAAAATACCAAGTAGCTTCCTTACTTAATAATGAATTACCTGTTCTCTGAACTTACGCTGTTTAACCGTCGTAATATTTGACAATGTTGACCATATTCTTTGGAACCCTCTTTTCCCTCTTGAGTCTTCTGTGACGTTACACAATTTTGTTTTTTTCCTCTTTTCTTTTATTCTGGCTGCAACCTCTTTCTCCTATCTCTTCCACTTGTTGCTCCCTAGTCCTTAGCTTTGTGGACCCTATGGAGGCAAAGAGCAGTAGGAAGAAGGTCCTTACCCTCCTTTGCAGAGAACTGGACAATTCACCAGGCTATAGGGGTTCTGATATAGTTTGGATCTCTGTCCCTGCTGACATCTCATGTTGAATTGTAATCCCCAGTGTTGGTGGAGGGGCCTAGTGGAAGGTGATTGGATCATGGGGGCTGATTTTCCCCTTTGGTGCTGTTCTCATGATAGAATTCTCAAAAGATCTGGTTGTTTAGAAGTGTATAGCACCTCCCCCATCTTCACCCCACCCCCACACCTCTTGCTTCTCTGGCCATGTGATGTGTCTGCTCTCCCTTCACCTTCTGCCATGATTGTAAGTTTCTTGAGGCCTCTCCAGAAGCTGAGCAGAGGCCAGCTCCCTGTACAGCCTGCTGAACTGTGAACCAATTACACCTCTTTTCTTTGTAAATTACCCAGTCTCAGGTATTTCTTTATAACCGTGCAAGAACAGGTTCTTCTCCTAGCCCTACCACATAGCTTCTCTGAGGACAAATCATTCAACCTGTCCCTCATTTTCCTCTTCTGTAAGTTGGGGATCAATATGAAAATTACTTCATAGGGTTATTTTGAGAGTTAAGTGATTTAACGCATGTCAAGCATGAAGAACATCTGCACACATAGGAAGAGCTCAAGATACGTTTGCCATTTTTATTGCCCATCCCTTACTTCCACCCTACTTGATGTTCACATGGCAAATGCCCTCACCTCATTTGTTCAAATGTCATGTAGAGAGTCCTACCCTGACCACCCTATTTAAAATATGTACCCCTTCACTTGTCACCACTCTTGTTCCCTTATGCGGCTTCATTTTTCTCTATAGTACTCATTGCCACCTGATAATATATTGTATTACATTATATTATCCCACCATATTATATTAAATTAATTATGTGTGTCTTCCTATCCCTGCTAGATTGTAAGCTTTGTAAGGTCAGGGCCTTTTATTTGTTCACTGCTTTACCCCCAGCACCAAGAATATTGCCTGCCACAGTGTGGCAGTATTCAATAAATACTTGTTGAAAGAATGAGTAAATAAAATGCTTATTTAGGTTTATTCGTGTGTTTGCCAGTGGTTATGTTTACTATGTCTTGCATTTGACTATTTCTAAATTTAGTTTCATCTTTGCTGAAGAATATTTAGCAGTTTTTACAGCCAAGGTCTCTATTAGTGGTAAACTTAACAGTTCTTTTCTCAAAATATCTGTATTTTCCTGTCACTCTTATGTGATATTTTAGTATAAAATACTAGTTTTGTAGTTAATCTCTATACTTTGAAGATGACATTTGTGAAAGTATTTTGTCTTCTGGCTTGTATTATCAAGTCTGTTTGTTGTTTGTTTATAGGTAACATTTTTTTCTCATTGGTTTTAAGATTTTTTCTTTGTGTTAAACAGTGTCACTATGAATTATTTAAGTGTCAATTTATTTTTTTTACACTAAAGACTTGTACATCTTTTGCTTGAAAATTTTTAAATGCTTCTAATCATTTAAAAATACTTATACTTATTTTGTCTCTAACTGGCAGCTCTCTTATCAGAGTTTGAGAGTCATCTTGCTTTTTGTTTTTTCTGGTGAGCCTTTTTTGTGGTAAAGTTGAGAATGTTTCTTCAAGGTTTTAATGAGTCATTTCAATATGTGGCTTGTTTTGAAGAAGGTGTCACTCCTGAGACTTCTGTGCTTGCTTCAGCCAGGTGCCTTAGGGATGTGCC